AATAAATTCTTTTTTTCTCCCACCTCGTCGTGTCCCTGGTCTTCTGTCCTCACCTCCACCATCATTCTGTTCAAGGATGCTTAATACATGTGATTTCCTTCAACCTGTATTTAACCGCTGCATGCTCTTCACGTACAGTCATGTCAAAAAATTAGGACAGTCTATGAAAGCCTGTGATATATGCAACAAGAAGATTCTGTTGAAGTTTATATTACTAAAGCAGGTAAGCTGTGCTAGTTTTTACCTGTTGGAATGCACATTTTTGTTGCTATATTTTGTTTAATAAGTAAAACTAGGCTAATTTTACAGTGTAACTCTATAATAAATCACTTTTGGTTAAAAGAAGTAATCTTCTGTGTCTGCAGACTTCAGCACAACACCTCTGACGTGCATTAAAGACACAAATGGTGGATAAAAACTGATGCAGTGCCTGGTGACCTTCAGTGATCACTGACTGTTTTAAGCGCACACACACAAAGGCTCCGTTTTCAAATGATGGACATTTATTATCATGGTGGCAGAGTCCTCACTGCAATATTCTTAATAGCACAGTTGCTGTACACTGTGCATCTAATCACTATGCCAGATTCATCCTAAAATGTCTCACCAAGCACCTGCACAAACAATCCACACCGTGTATGCCACCAAATCCCAAACTATGCCCAGGCCTCCTGCTCATAGAGACTATTTACTGGTGTAGGTTTTGTAGGAAACTGAAGGAGGTTTTGAGTTTTTGGATGCAGCCTGAACCCGTCAGGATGTTTAAGAAAAGCCCTGGGATCATGGGAGGAATAAGCTCAGCTATGTGTTCATATTTATTATCCAGAAGGTCATAAAAGAACCAAGAAAAAAGGATGATAAATCAGTTCATGACAAAACTCTAATCATGTACTTTATCACAGAAATGAAGGAAAGTAGTGTGATTTTAGAATAAAAAAGAAAAAAACTGGGAACTAGATTTAGAATAAAAACTTTCACCATATGAAATAACTTGTTGATATCAATGCTTTCTGATTGCTTTCTGGCACTTTACTTTCTGTATGTCAATATCCAATGTATGTGACAAATTACAGTTACACACTTTTATTAAGGATTTCCAAGGTCATTAGAACTTTAATATTGTGCAATAGTTGTGGAGCAGGACTGTCCAATATGCTGCTCAATCTCTCACAGCCAGCTAAGTGAGTTTGGTGGCATCAACTAACTCACCTACTCTTTGGTTACCTTTGGAAATCCTTCAGATTGTGACAAGGTCGTGGAAACATCCTCACACGGAAAAGAGAGCCAGTCTTGGAACCGACCTTTTGGTCACACCAGGCGAGGGATGAGATGTGGTGCCTCCGATGGGTGAAGGTGGGAGAAATATTGTGGAAACAATATGAGGGACTGAGGACATGAGAAAAGAGGAAAACCCTGCACCTACACTAAGAGTTTCCCACTGTACACTGAAGCAGGTTTTCCAAATTTCTTCCAGTCCTATTTTTCTAATTATTTGTGGAGATCATGGTGACCTTTGTGCAGCCTTACATTTAGTGCAATTAATAGGTACTCAGATTCATCTGAGCTCATTCATTCAAGTTCGAAGTCTTGTCATCGTAGAAAGCTTGAAACTTCATCAGAATTATCATCTCTATTATGAATCGGCAACATCCCCTTCATCATTTGAATAATTTCTAATTAGGGTCATTTGATGAATGACTGCACTGTGATTTTTTTTCTCTCCATTTTCCCACAAAAATGGTGCAGAAATATTGTTATATTCTATGCTATTGTTTTGAATCTCTTCACTTCTTGATCATCAAAGAAAGTTTTAGTTTGTTTTTCACACAAAAACATTTCATATTCTGAGAGATGTGGACAAAAACAGGAGCACTTTTCTAAATGATTTGAAATTCAGCTCATGTTGGCAGCTTCTCCCTTTGAGCTACATGTACTTAATTTCCTTTGAAAGTACAAATAATTTTTTCTCAGTGGTTAGAATTAAACTTTAAATTATTATGAGCTGACTCAGTTACCTTCACTCAAAGTTTAGTACACATGAGGCCTTACAGACATGAACTGTGGACCATTGATGTGGAGACTCCAACCCTGGAAGTGTTTTAATGCCTGAAATGACCAGACAGTGATTCTGCATGCCAGTGAATACCCATGGCTTGGTGATCAGATCCAATACCTTCACATTTACAGTTCCAAAACTACTAAAACTGTAGCCATACAACCGTTTACAGAAAATGTGCTGGAGTATCCTGAGTTTGCTCATGCTGCATGGCTCTCCTCTGCTGGTGAGCTGGCTGAAAGCAGGCTTCTACACTTTAACCTGAGTTACAAATTCAGGCCATATGGGCACCACAACAAGTCCAGCCAGTCATAACTAAAGGAGCTAATTCTCATTTAGGTGAGACTTTGTTTTGAAGCTACATCTGGTAAGGTTTGAGCAGCTTGTCTGCAAACAAGTCGACTGTAGATTCTACAAGAACATTTTCCTCCTATCAGCTTGGTGTGATGGTTACTCTATAAAGAGCTGAGCAGCAAAAAGGTACTTTGTTCTGTGAAATTAGCATTTAAAATGTGTTTATTCTGTACTTCTTCTTAAATCATGCCCTATCAGTGACTACATGATGTCCATGTAAATAGGAAAAGAGGGCCAAAATTGAATTGTGCTAAATATTTTTTCATTGTCATGGTATGCTACTCTGCTTTTTCGTATTTTTTGCTTGACGTTCTTTCAAGACTTTATTTGGTTTCCCTCCATACAGGCTTAGAGGGCTCTGTCAGCTTAACCCAGTAAGCTTTTCCTGGGTTGCTTTGTAATTCCATTTAGCCACGATCCAGAAGGAACCTCCAGACACTGCAACAAAAAAGACAAAAAACAGAAACACGACTGCCTTATAACGACTTTCCGGTCAATATGTTGAAATTCACTCAGTTCCATGAGTTACTAAGCAGCTTGAGTTTTCTTGCTCTGTTGTGGTTCTAAAAGCTGATGAGGTTGTTACTGAAATTAGATACTAGAATTAAAACCAGGTCGTCTGAGTGTTAGATTTTCATCAGCCTGTCAGTATTTTGAACTTTTTTTCCCATGTCATTAAATTTCTCACTTTTTTGTGTATTTTGTAGAATACAGTTAGGTCAGTTATTTTGTTTGTTAGATGCTTGTGTCTTTATTTAATTAGTCATCAGTCTGGATTGTAATTGAAGGAATGACTGAATTCATATTGACATAAAGACATTTTAACGCTGAGAAATGTACAGAAACCTTGTTCTTTTTATGTAGTAGAGACTGCTGCATGGAAAGGTCATGAATTCATCATTGAGATTGATTTAGATAGACGACGATGATAAAGATTAAGTTTGATGAGCTGTTAGACCGGTTTATGAACCTTTTTATAGTTTAACAGATTAATGAAACATAGCATTAGATAGCTTTACTACACAGTTAATAATCAATTTGTTTCATTATTTTAACCACTGTATGAATATGTTGTTGTTTAAAACTAAAGCAATTTCTTTATTTCTTTGTTCAGTTGCATGATACTATAAAACTGATATTTTGACCTCATCTTGATGAACAGTTTGAAAGTTCTCCTATATATAAATTAAGTTACTTTTGGATATTTAACTCGGGATTTCTTTGACAAGTTGTTTAGTCAAAATGTGCAGTTGTCAGGCAGGAAGGTCTGCTCTGTTTTATGCAACTCCGCTGGGACTTTGGCTGAGCTGCTGGAGGAGCCTGGATGCTGCCTGACACTACAGGGAGAAAGGAAGTTAGAGACAGAATCAAAGTGAATTCACATGTGGCCAGAGACGGCCGGTGCACTCACTTTGACATTTCCAACCTATTTTTGTCGCACTGAAATGTTTGTCTTCGCATCATGTTCGCAGATATGTTATTGTAGGAGGTGGTTGGGGGGATGGAGGGAGGGGTGTTACGGGGGTAATTAGTTGGTGAATGGGAGATAAAGTCACAACGGTTGTCTCTTTAAATCAAGCTGCAGTGTTGATGTGTCCTCAAGCTGAAATGGTAAGAACCATTCCACCTTTGCTGCAGAGTCGGACCTAACCGGCACACCAAAGCGCTTCAAACGTGCGACTCGTTCCTTTGCTCACTTGTCGTCCCTTCAACACTGAAGAGAGACGTTTCTGTTTTTTCTTTCTTTGTTTTAATGGAATACATGTTCACAGCAAAGTTGGAGGACACTATGTAACTCCTAAAGTCTTTTATCTGATTGCTTTTTTTATTTATTATTTATCCGCAGAACTCCGTGGCAGTCGCCTCGATCCATTTACCGCTGGCTGGTCCGCCTGCCTCCTCCTCTGCGTTGCAATCTGTTGATAACTCCACTTGCAGGCTGCAGTTCGTCCTGTTTCGCAATGGGAAACTCTTTCCCTGCACGGGGAATTCGTCAAACCTCGCAGACGATGGGAAGCGCAGGAGCGTCTCGACACCAGTTGCTTTTGCCAAATTAGGTAAGAGGAAATCCATTTCTATCTTTCACGCCTGTGATGTCAACGCCGGACCGAATGCATGCACACGCGTGTGCGCGCTCACATACGCAGTCACGGCTGTGTATTTTTTTATTTATTTATTTATTTATTTTGCGCAACATGTGGATTGCATAGATACAAACATTAACAAGGTGCGCTCAAATGAATGAATGAATGAATGAATACATGAATGAATGGCTGAAGTCAGAGCACGGATCAGATTAAATAGAGTTTACTGCAGTGTGATGCACGAAAGTAATCTGCAACAGTCCAGCTGCAGTAACTCATCCGACACTTGCATGTGTGCATCGTTTTGCCTGCATGGGTGTTTTTAGAGCCGCGGCTCTGCCACTGTTTCCTCTCGGCTTCCTTTCCTGAACGTGTTGCCTTTCCTTCCAGATGGCTGCAGCCGCGGCAGCTCTGTGCACTCCGTCGCAGTCGCTCTCAGGCACTTCGCGCTGGGTGTAGACCCCACCGCAGCCTACTGGGATTTTGACCTGCTCGATGGACACGGTGGCTGGAGGGCAGAGGGCTGCCATATAACCGCCTCCGGGGGCAATACGACCACTATTCACTGCAGCCATCACAAGAACTTTGCCGTGCTAATGGTGAGTAGTTATTTCACTATGACCCCCCCCCGCAACACATAACGTGTCTTCCACATGCTTAGGGCCCATTACGGATCAAATCAACCTTTTTTTTCCCTCTATCTTGGAGTAGACTGAGTCACGTGTTTTAAAAGAGGACCTTCAAAAGCCTCCTTTATTGTTGCTCCCCAGCAGAGGGATTGGATTGCCAAATGCTGTATGAGGATTTATTAGCGTTGGAATATCATAGAGTCTTCTTTTTCTTTGGGAAACAGACGAGGAGAAGTTGTGCGCGTTTTACAGTCTGCCATCCTTTCCCAAGCTGCAACAGAAGCGATGCTCTGGAGAAGGAGCGCCCTGTCAGGAGCGATTCGACTCTGAGCGCAAGTGGTGTGCTAATTGGTTGCAACCATCGCGAAGCAGAAAAAGAAGAAGCCAAAAAAAAAAGAAAAATGCTGGACTGTACAGCTTAGCGTCGTTCATCTGCGTTTCTCAAGTTGGTCTCGACGCTGCAAGCCGAGATGCTTCCCTCTGACGACGTCCCCCCCTGTGTTCAAATTGATTTCATGAGGATTAGAAGCACCAAAAGCGCAATGGCAGCGCATTGCAAGGTCGCTCCTTAGAGTCGCTGCTTCTGGTCCGCTTCTTCTTCTTTTTTTTTTCTTTCTTTTTTTTTGGATGAAGAGAAATCCTCCGGATGTTTACCGAAGAGTGGGATTCGTTAGACTGGGAGGTCAGTTCTCAGTGGAGCATGAAAAAGTGTTGTGCCTTTTTTTTTTTTAACCTGCATATTTTAAGAACCCGCCGATCAGGTTGCTGTCGTTGGTGGAAACATGCTGGATCAGGGGGTGAAACAGAAAAAGCCGCATTAGAGCAGGGAAGAAGAAAAAGCAGCGTATGATAAAAGCACGGGGTGCACAGAGGGGTAGAGGGGTGGAGGAGGTGTCTGGAGAATACTAAGCTGTTGTCAGATGGAGAGCAGATGTCAGGATGTCATTGTGCATGTGTGTTTTTCGCTCCAACACGGCGCGCCATCAGCGGGGCGCGCTGTGGCAACCGGAATGACGCCGGCTCTGATTTTATTTATTTATTTCTGGTCAAATTTAATGACACCAGGATAATAATTTGAACTTCAAAACACGTCCGACAGGCAGAGAGGGGTTGTCATAGCGATGGTAGAAAGCCGTGACGAGAACGTCCACATCACGGTGAGCCGGTGTTTGCACCGGAGATTGCGCGCGTCTGCTAATGCAGTCACCACACCCGCCTGGTCTCTGCAGTGCCCGAGAAAAGGACCCTTATTTACAGACCTGTGACATCACTCCTCCGGTCGTAGCACCTTAACTGCTTTCTGATGCAACAACGATTCCCCTCAGCTCAGGAGGCTTCTGCAAGTACAAAACCTGTTGCATAATCTTTTCATGTCAAAGGGAGACGGATTGTCACTACCGCCTGAGTGCAAGTTGGCCATTTACTCACTGTGTGCCTCCATGAGCGGAGCTGTCATTTGTAATTCAAGCAGTGTCAGATCTTGGGCGGTCTGCAGGAATTTAGTATAGTTGTTTAGTGTATATGAGAAAAGTTGAACTATGTCACCTTTCCATGTAGTCGCACAATCACCGGCCACTTTATTAGGTACACCTTGCTGTTATTAGTTGAACCTGCTTCTGCTTTCAGAACTGAGACTGAGTGTTTGGGTTCATATTGACATGGCAGCGTTAAACAGAGGAGAACACTGGAGCACCGAAAACTGAGTTTATTGATTTGAGTTTGGTTGGTGGCTTACCCTGCTGGATGTAGCCATCTAAAGATGGGACCACTGGGTTGGATTTGAGTTTATGGAGCAGGAGTGTTCAGTAATTTGTGAAAATCAGAGAACCTTGGCTGTTTTTGACATCCTCAGGCCTGCCCATCCTGTGCCAACAACTTTGACACATCCAAGCATACTTAAATCCTCTTTCTTCAACATTTTTATGTTCAGTTTGAACTTCAACAAGTCATCCTTACCATGTCAAGATGCGTAATTCAATGAGTTGCTGTCAAGTGATTCATTCTGTGTGTTAACAACAATCTTAACAGGTAGCTTTTATAATGGCCTATTGGCATTAGAAAGCAGTACCACCTGCTTTGCTCCTATATTTACTCTCCTGTGGTGCTGAGTAAATGTACAGATGATTACACTGGATATAAAACTGCATTAACGCTACTGACCATATATTTCTATAAATTGAGTCAAACTTACTTTAGATAGTTTTTCACCCACAGAACACGTTTTTGCTCTTTTGCAAAACACGTGTTATATTATTATTTAATCAAGATAACACCTTTAAATGGTAGGTTGAGACAAATCTGCCTCTTATGACACAAAGCTCAGAGCTTTCTTGAGTGTGGCCTTCATTTTTTCTGTATTTGCATGTTTTTAATTAATTTCCTTCCTCATAAAATGAGCTGAATCGGAACATTTGAGTGGTGCCCGAAAACACCGCATGGACTTTAGTAAAACTGGACCACAATAAAACATGTTCAAATAGGAATAGATCAGATTTGATCAAACCTTCCAGCAATATCTACCAGCCTAGTTGATATAAAGTCACATGTTGTGGTTGATTCTGGCATCACAGAAAATAATTGCCAGGCAGACTTTAACCCCACCATGCATCCTGGTCTCTGCCATCACCTCAGCCCCAGCACACAACAGAAGGAAGGAGTTACACTCAGACAAATGGAAGTTGTTAAGCTAAGCTAAAGTAGCTGTTCAGCTGTTCATTTTAAGAAATGTACCAATGAATAGTAACTACAAGAGATGAATTAATGCTACAAAAACTTTATGTTAAATGTTCTCACAGGAGGTTGAGGTGTGCATTGCCCTCCCTGTTAGTTGTCTCTTTTGGTGTGTGTGTGTGTGTGTGTGTGTGTGTGTGTGTGTGTGTGTGTGTGTGTGTGTGTGTGTGTGTGTGTGTTTGTGTATGCAGGCTCTGATCCCAGCATGGATGTCCCTAGAGGCTGGGGATTGGGCTGGAAAAAAATAAATAATGAAAATCTTTTTAACTTGCTTCAAAAGGAATTACATGGTAGAGAATCTCCCTCTCGTGGTTTTGTAATCAGAATGCCAGATTATGGACATGGGATAGGCTGTGAGTAGAAAAGCTCAACTCAGCTAGATTGTGGACTGTGACTGGTGCATTTTGCTGTCCAGATGAATCACTGTGTGTCTTTAGCATCTAATAATACAGATCGCTCCAGATGGGGCAACTTTTGGATGTCAGCCGGCGTCTATTTTGGAGTTTTGTTTTCTTGCTCCATGCTGAACCTCTAGCTGTTGAAAAGCAGCCCCCTCCAGATTTCAGCACCAGGGACAGTTCCTGAACATTTTTCCCTCTGCTCCTCCCGTAACGCCTCCTCCTCCCCCTCCATCTGCCTCACGCAGGCCCGTATTTGCCGAGAAGGAGGGCTGACTCACTCGTTTACAGCAGTGCAGCTTTATCGTCTGTCTTGGTGGTGGTGACAAGCCTCAATCCCACTCTGAAGCTTCTCTGAGCCACTCGCCGCCCCCTCTTAAGACACACCTTTTGCTCTTTTCTGTCAGAAATGTACAAGTTTATCAAAATTTCAATTATTTTGTTTGTTTATTCAGAGGTGGTGTCAACAGCTAAGTTTCTGCATGTATCTGCTCCGGCTCACCAGGCTGTTTAGTATGCAGGAGCAGACCTTTGGAGTTAAACACACACTCAGACACAGTCACACATGGTGTAGGTGGTTGGTTCTGTAAGTATCCAATCACAAGGAAGGCTCCAGGTCATGGCTCAATAGGAAAGTTGTATTTTTTTTAGAAACACCTTCTTATTCATGGAGCTGGAAATAGTGACTCTGTAAAAGGACATGATTCCTAAAAACCAGGTCAGGATTTCTGGTGCTGGTTCTGCTCCATCTGAACCAGACCTGATAATGTTTATCATGTATTTATGATGGTTTGTGAAACGTGAATGAAGGTATGGAAGGCAAGAGTGATACAATTAGATTGTGTTTACTTCTACTCTAATTGAAGTATGGTGTTTATCACCATACTTGTTGCTCTGTCAAAATAAATGTCTCTTGATTCAGTTAGCAGCATGTTCTATTAAAACATGTAGAAAATGCCATCATCAATTTGATTTTATCCAATGGGGGAAAGTCGCATGTTAAGTACTTATTGTTTTTAACAAAACGCTTCACTTACAACATTTATAATGTACACAGAGAAGGATCTTTTCTTCTTTGCACAACCACACTAAGTTTTCCAGATTCCTGGGTACTTTCTTCTTTTCAGTTCACCGTGCAGTTTTCCCATAGAATTTGGGTCATAACTATGTAAGAAGCTTGATTTCTGTGTTGATTTTGCCATATGTTAGTGATATGTTTTCTGCTAAAGACCCAGTGATGACCTAGTTTCAGTTAACTAGTGAAATCCAGCAGGTCTGTTTTTAAAATGTTCAGGTATTTCAAATGACATGTACTCTAACAGGTTTTCTGACAGATCCTCCACACACCTACAAGCAGCACAAGGCTCCTTTCTATATATTCACTCTTAGTTTTATGCCAGAACGACCTTGATATGCTTGCTACCTTATTCTCAGCTCACCAGAAGCACACAGTTCCAGCAGAGTTTAGCAGACGTCAGATGTTTACTGTACGTGATCATGGCTTCACTCCCAAACAACTGGTTTGTATGTAGATAAATTGTTTCTACCAAGAGTTTGTCAAACCAATCACAGCTTCAAACGCAAGACTCACCATTTCCGCTGAGCTTTTCAGATTTTCTCTTACCTTGCCCTGTCATCCTCCTCGCTGTGCGCGGTGACAAGATGAGTATGAATCCTCCTCCAGTTTTATTGTTCACACTTGCACCTGTTTTGAATGTTTTAATTATCGCTCTAATTGTAGATGTGAGCAGGTTTGGGCTTGTAGCCGTTTTCTTGGAGACATTTCTTGACCTTGACCTTGCTGTAGATCAGTGTCTTCCTTGTTTGAACAGCATGCTCTCTTGTCCTCTTTTTGGAGAGAGGCTAATAGACATTTACCTCTGTGTCATGACAGATACATACCGAACACAAACAGGAAGTCCTTCTGCAAAATATCCCCCCCCAAAAAACACAGCATACTTTTAAAATTAACATTAATTTAAAAGAGATTATTACATTTATTTTCGCTTTTGTGATTTGCAATTATAGAATTGTTTCACTCTCTAAATAAATTAAACTAAAATAAAGGTTCTCCAACTATTTGCACATTTTCCAGGAGTGCTAACAAATGTGGCCAGTGTGTGATGAAAAGAAAATTATCAAAATAATTGACTAAACAATTATTTTGTTTATAATATAAAATAGCTTCAGAGAATTGCAGGCAAAACTACAATGTTTCTGCCTATAAAGGTTGAAAGGTTGAAAATAAGACGACAATCTGTCGTCTTATTTGCTGCATCTTGATTTTAAACGTAACCATCCAGGATGGAGGATGTCTTGATTAGCTCTGAGTTCTCTAGAGGCCGAACACCAACTCGACATTCCTGTTGACTCATGACACTAAGTCTCCAAATCAAGTGACACATTCAAGAATATTGTCTTAATGAAAAAAACAAACCACTGAGCTTATAGAACAATAATTTATTTTCTTTCTCTATTCCTCTGTATATAGATTAATGGTTGTATGTCCTCGTTAGTCAATCCGTGCTCAGCCTCGGTATAATGAGACAACAAG